GGAAAGTATTTTAAGATTTGGTTTTATATCTTATTATCCTTCTCTGATTTGATTGGTAATAATTAAACTGATTTTCCCAATATGAGTCTATTTTGTCCATGACAGTAATTGCTGAGTTACCTCTCCATCCTTTTGTCAGCCCATGAGGCTTTTGTTATATTGTCTCTCCCCTGTCTGGCTGAGAAGGGAAGTGACAGAGCAGCAGTGGTGGACACCTGGCATCCTGCCAGGGTCAACCCACCACATAGGCAAAAGGACAGAGATTCTCCCACAGCCATATCTCAGCAATATTTCCTGAGATAGGATCTATTCTGACATCTCTTCTCTGATCTGACATCCTCTTTGCAGACCTAAAAATATCATAAGGGATGGAGAGAATAGACTGTTCCAGAATTTAATGAAATCTGATAATAATAACTTCAATGTTAGCCCAGTCTGCCAAACCTTCAGCACCCCTTGGACCCATGAAAGACTGTGAATCTGGCTCCCTTTCTTCCACAACTTACTTTTACTTTTCTCTTGAGGAAAATACATCAGCTCTTGCTTTTTCCTGAAGAACTGAAGTTGTATCTTGATATAACTCCTCAAGTAAGAAACATTCTAAGATCCTAATGATTTTATCCTAATAAAGAGTGTAAAATAGGTCACCATCTACTGCAGGTATATTGCCTCCCATAGAGAAGAGAATGATTTAGAGGTGTGAAATGTGTGCTGCACATTTAATTACAAATTAAAATGCTAAGATAGGTAATGACTTCTCTGACATTTGTTGTGGTTGCTTCCAAAAGCTCTTATTTCAAAGAGTACTGTGAGTTTTCCGGTGCACACTGCAAGTGTGGACCTGAGACTCCTCTCGTGTGTCCTGTGGAGGTGGACAGTTGGAAATGCCTGCTGGGACCTTCAGATGTTGTTGCTGGATTGTCTCATCTGAAAATCAGACATGGTTAGCCCTAACCCTACAAGTGCCATAGTAGATCTCAGAAATTTTTTTTCTTTTTAAAAAAGAGTAATTGCTTTTTATCTTGTGTCTGCAGTGATAAAGATGAAAATCTAGTTTGGCTGCATTTTTTTCCTCTAGGTATCCTAAGCTTCAGTCACCTTGCTTTCTCCTTACCCCCAGTAAACTTTAGCCTTTGAGGCAGTGTCATCTCATGATCCCTTGAAGCAGTGGGGGGGATCTGCGGGAATGATGATGACTTTGCAGAAGTTGCATCACTCCAGTGGCCATTGAGGGTCTGAGAGCTACTCTAGCAATGCTCAGGGAGCGCTGTGAATAAATGTCACTCTGCTCCAGTTGTTCCTGTTTCATAAAGCATTTCAGAGAGCTTCATGAGCCACAAAACACCTTTCATCACTGTAACTGTTAGGAGATAAATAATGACATTGGGAGAAAAAAAAAATTATTCATGATTCAGTATATTTTACCTCAGGAGTTATTAGTTAATTTTAAAGACAGTCTGTCACCCCAGCAAAGGCAGGAACAATATTGTCACACTACGTGGCTATGCTGTGCTGAGCAACCCGTGAGCAACGTATGGATCAAACCTTGTGAGCGGGGCTGTCTGCTGTGGTGTCCAGGGACAGCAGGCGTGTGAGGGGAAGCCATAGAGCTTTGCCATTGAGTCACAGCTCGAACAGGCAGGCTAACGGGGTCCTGTGGTGGAGCTGTCATTGCTCACTTAGCTAGCAGAGCACTCCCCAGGAACTGGACCAGAAAAGCTGTTTATTGAGTAGAAAGGAATGGGGCTTCAACGCACAGTAACTGGGGAACGATTAGGTACAGGTAAAAATGTTTTGCTGCCACAGGAGAAGGCAGGAAAGTGTGAGACACTCAGTCACCTGAGAGCTGTGACGAGGGAAATGGGGATCACAAAAAGAAGCGAAGGAGATGAACCAAAGCCCTAATGAACACAGTCTCCTGTGGCAGCTGTAGCGTGGGGGACATTTCATGCTGGTTTGTGATAAGGAAATAGTTTAGTTTAGAGGCAGTGGAGAATCACCTGGAAGAAATAAGCGGACTCACCTGGGGTTGCTGGGTGCAGGGGATGGAGAGGATTTGGCCATGAATCAGTGATGGCTGTGCCTTGAAGTTTCCCTCAACAGGCAGGATAAGGTCAGGGCCAACACAAAGCATTAGATTACATTCGACAGTGAGAAATTAAAGTTAGAAATTGCAAGAACACAGTCTGCTTCATCCCTGTTTGAATACCAGCATTATTCTTGAACAGCCAAGAGTTTACTAGGGCACTTTAAAGTCATGTAAGTAGGTCAGCTTGTCACTAGAATCTGCTTATACCCCAAACACGTGAAATTACTTCCTGACAGCCAGCAGATGAGAAGCAGGCAGCAGTGAGACTCATCAGCCACAGCCCAAGGGCGTATCAACAAGGCAGAACGCTCCAGAAAGTGCATTTTGCATCTGCAAGTGCATTTTGCATTTGCAAGTGCATTTTGCTGTGCGATGCCCAGGTGCAAGAGCTGCTCCTTGCTATAACTATGGTGCTGCATACCCCAAGGCTCCCTCAAACAGTAGTCTGCCTATTCCCAGCCCTCCTCCGGGAAGCACAGAGCAGATTCTGGAGAAAAAAAACTCACAACAATCTCTCTTGACCAACACTTGGCTTTAGAGCAAGTCAATGATACAGCCCAATATACTCACCCCTAGTGTGGGCAATGAGGATGTTACCTGCTTCTCTGTGGCAGAAAACTGAATTTTTGTCCAACGCTATCAGCTTTCAAAGAGTTCTCAGCTCAAGGAAAAACCATCCTGCAAGGCCTGGGCCTTGGCCACCACTCACCAAAGGGACAGTGTTGCTCAGGTGGTGACACTCACTATTGCAAAAAGAGTTTTGCTGCTGTAAGTGTCTACAGAGGGATTTCAAATATATGTTAATAGGCAAAAAGTCTCATTAGCGGAGTTGATTGGAGTTAGTGTTTATTACAGAGAGAAGCTATTTTTTTTAACTTGAAATTAAAGATGAATTAAAACTGTTAAGTATTTAAAATGCTGCATTTGTTCAAGCTAGCACTTACATTGCTAAAAGCAATATTATTTTCCTTTTATGATAAAATAAAATATTGGTCAAATACCTGAGAGGAGCTTTCTTGGCAACCAGTTGGGAGACAGTATGAAACCAGAAACAAATATTTCCACTGGTTTTTTTACTTTTTTTTTTCCCCCTTGAATACTTTGAAAATATTTTCTTCTCCTGAAAATACCCATCTGCCTCTGGTGAGCAAATGCAATGGCTCTTCTCCCAACTGGTAGAGGCCTCCAGGCAGCCCACCTTGGCCTGTGCTGAGGGAGGAGAGAGGAGAGCTGCCTGTCCAGGTCACAGAATCACAGAACGGTAGGAGCTGGAAGGGAACTCTGAAGATTATTTAGTTCAACCTCCTTGCCAGACCAAGATCACCTAGAGTAGATCACAAAGGAACACGTTCAAACGGGTTTTGAATGTCTCCAGAGATGGAAACTCCACAATCTCTCTGGGAAGCCTGTTCCAGTGCTCTGTTACAGAATCACAGAATCATTGAGGCTGGAAAAACCTCTGAGATCATCAAGTCCAGCCTATGACCCAACACCATCACATCGGCCAGACCATG